TGTGTGTATGTGTGTGTGTGTGTGTGTGTGTGTGTGTGTGTGTGTGTGTGTGTGTGACCGAAAATTCATAACTCCTGATCCGTGGACCTAAAATTGGTTCAAATTTGGTAGGAGTGCAGGTGACATGATGGTAACACTCATGGCAGGTAGCAGGACCAGACTCTGCCTACAGGGGCGAAGCGTGCGCGACAGAAGTTTTTGACTGCAATTTCGTAACTCCTGTTTACGTAGAGCTAAAGCGTTGAAGTTTCGTAGGAGTACAGGCGGTGGGATGGGGACACTCGTGGCAGGTATCGGGACACGACCCGCTAACAGGGTGCGGGGCGTGCGCGATAGGAATTTTTGACCGTAAGTTGATAACACATGCTCTTCGTATTAACAGTGGTAATGAGTGATGTAGAATACGACGGGATCGTAGGTAGTCGACGACAGGAACCGGTGACAATTGATAAGAGAATATAAGGGACTAGAGAGAGCAAGAGCCACCTACCGATCAAAATCCTAATCCTTCGGTATTTACGATGTGGCTTTGACTGCTCAATATGTTTCATTTGATAAGACGGGATGTAAAGTAGGGTGACGAAAGTGAGTGGTAAGTGCAGTGATAGGGACCCGTTAGTGGTGCTACGATAAGCAGATGAGAATTTTGTACATTTCTTGCTACTAGATTACGACCGCTACCCAGCAAGGTTTGCGACTCAATGAAGGATCTTCTTTGTTTGATATCATTTGAGAGGAAACTTGATCAACCGCCAGTAATGTGGAATACTCAACTAATGATATCTCTTTAAAGGAAAAGGTTCATTAATAAAGACATCTGATAATGATGTTATCATGATTCGAAACATTTGTCAGTACCGCTCAAAGCTTCGTTTGCCTAACAGTTGAATCTTTAATGGATATTTATCTTTAAGAACGAGAGCAAAAGATCCTTACTTTATATAAAGCGCTCGCGTCTGTCTCTCCGTCCGTCCGTCTGCCTGTGTGTCTGTTTGTACGGAAATTCACAACTCCTGTCCCCGTAAATCTAGGACGTTCAAATTTTACTAGTGGTACAGGCGGCAGGATGGGAACACATATGGTGAGTGGCAGAACTGGACTCCGCTCACAGGGGGTAGGATTTGTGGGAACAAAATGTTTTAGAGGAAAACCATGACTCCTCTCCCTGTGAACCCAGAAGGTTCAAATTCATTGGAAGTACTCATTTCACGATGGGAATACTGGGATGGGAGGACCGGACTCCGCCCACGATGGGCGGGGTTTGCGCGAAATAAATGTCTGAGTGGAAAATAATTACTCCTGTCTAATTGGATCTAGAAAATTTGAGTTTGGTAAGAGTACCTGATGCAGGTGGGAACACTAATTGTGGGTGGCAGGATCGGGCCACAGAAGGCGGAGTTTGCGCCAAAGTTGTCAATTTGACCCTAGGGCGTTCAGACTTGGCACAAGTATAGGCGGCAGGATGAGAACACTTATGGTGGGTAGTAGGACCCTACTCCGCCCACTGGGGCGCGTTCTGTGCGGAATGAAAGTGTGGGCGAAAATCCAATACTACTGATCGCGTGGATCGGAGAGCAAAACCACTAGGTGTAGAGGGGGTTGAACGGGAACACTGACGATAGAGGAGGTCTCAGAGAACAAGATCCAATCACCAATTGAATCCTAGCTCCTTTGTTATTTACGATTTAGCTTTGATTCTTTGATATATTTCATTCGACAAGAAGAGTAAGTGCACTGATAGGGACCGATTATAAGGAGATGAAAGTGGGTTCATCTCTTGCTTGCGACCGCTACCCAGCAAATTTTGCGATTCAATGAAGGATCGCAGTTTCTCCCTGATTTTTGATATCATTCATCTCTGAATTTATCCGATCGCTAATAATCTTGGATCCTCATTTAATGATGTGTCCGTGGAGAAAAGGAGCTACAATCATAAGGACATTTGATAATGGTATTGTTATGTCTCGACAAATTTGTGAGTACCATTCAAGCTTTGAATGCCTACCAGTTGAATCTTCTATGAGTCATTTTTTTAACATCAACAGCGACAGTTCGAGACAGGCAGATTCTAATCAATGGCATAGGCATCGGCACATTTTCGATATCGTTTGCATGCCCTATTGTTCCTCAACCAAACTTCGTGTTCGGAAAAGTATCATCGTTCAAAGAAGCAGTGTGCTGTTTGCCGTTTATCGCAACTCTATCGTAAGAAGGAGGGAAGCCCGGCCTTAGCCGGGCGGTCCGACTGTCTCAATACATGAGACGATAATTTTGCGTGGCTTTTTGCATGCCCGGTGGTGCGTCCTTCCGAAAGTCCCGTAGGCACAACGAAGAGAGTGAATGTCACGTGAGCGCGGTGAAAACAATTATGGAATGAGAAGTCAACCAATGGTGTTCATATTGGTTCTCTAACAAGTCGTAGGTAAGCGGTAGTGGGCATGTGGTGCACGCATTAGAGTGCGTAGCCCAACTGGTAAGTTATAAGTTATAAGTAAGTTAACGTTGTTGTAAAAACGACAAGTCCGCACCATCTTCCTTTTCCAATTCAAACTAGGCAGGAGTGCAGCGGATACGGCTGGAGATAGCAAAATAGCGTTTGGTCCTATAACAACAAATGTATTAGGTTGAGTAAAAAGTTTTTATCGGCTTTTCAATCTTCACTTTAAAAAGTCTTATTCCCATTGAAAGAGGATCTCAATTAGTAATATAGTCTCCATCGTTGTCCTAAACATACGTCTAACAAACCGGCAGTTTCTCGACTCTTGAAGCCTAGAAGGGTGGCGGCCACGATTCGAAAAAGCTGGAGATCTCATCTTTGAGCTCCGGGCAATCGTCAAAATTTCTATCGTGGAGGTAATGTTTCAGAGCAAGAAACAAATGGTAATCAGACGGAGCGAGACCTCGCGAANAAGTAGAATGTGTTAGCACTGCCCATCTAAGTTCGGCAATTTACTGACAAAATGATTTCGCTACATGCGGTTGAGTGCTGTCGTGAAAAAGGCAAACATTTTCACGCTGCGGACGCTTCCTTCGAACAACGTCGACCAAACTCTGTAGCTGAAAAGCGCAAATCTCGGCGGTCACGGTGGGAGCCCTCAGTAAGTTATCCCATGTAGAGCATTCCCTGAGAATGTCCACCGACGACACAGTAAAACCTTCCTCGGACATAGTCTACTTCTCTGTTAGTCTTGGAGGTGCTTCGTCATGAGGCACCCGTGGGCTGTGATACGATGACCCTTCTGGAGCCACCATAGATATTTGCGACAGCCGTCGGTGGATTATGCCCTTACAGTAATTCGTGATAGACGATAGCTCTCAGACAGCTCCGGACGCCAGTTGAAGGTTGAAGTCATTCTTGCGAAGCACTTTCAAGGGGATGCTTATATGTATATCCTTTTAAAAATACAGATTAGGGATTGGTCTACCATAACCCATTACGAAGTCCTTCCGAGCGGTCCTACGAAAAAAGGGACGAAGGTCGATCAAAACTTATTACTCAACCTAACACGTACTGTGCAGCGATGGTTCGAGAAATTCCATAACGGCAACGAGAGTCTCGAAGATGGTGATGGTGGTAGTTTGGTGATCAACGGCTGCTTTAATCCAACACAGCTTCTTGGATCCGAGCAAAACTATCACAGCTGAAAGATACTGCTAGGATATCGACAAAACGCACCGGAAGCTGCAGCTCATGAGCCTTGGATTGGTGAATAGGAAGGGGCCGATCTTTCTCTACGACAACGCGTGCCCCTATGTCGCACATACCACCCAGTAGAAATTGAACGAGCTTGGCTATGAAACACTGCCACACCCACCGTACTCACCTGACCTCGCTCCGACCGACTACCACTTATTAAGCATCTCGACAACTTTCTCCGTGAGAAACGCTTCAGCAATCGACACGATGTCAAATCGACCTTCCTCGAATTCATCGCTTCTAGATCTCCAGAGTTCTACGCAGCGGGGAGAGGCAAAATTGTTACTGGTTGACAAAATTGTGTATATAATAATGGTTCTTATTTCGATTGATAAGATTTTGTTTGAGCCGAGATATGTGCCTTGCAAGTTTATCGTTGAAAAACGAGAGAACCCTCTGAAACAACTAATACCAGATGAGTGAGTGATTTTTTAATATTTGCATCGAAATGGGTGAATGTAGCCGGTACTTCCTGATCGATGACGTTTTTCTTCACCAGAGACTAATTTAACCGTGCACATTGCTTAGATTTGTGACAGTACTTCTAGTAGGAGTTTGGGCGACTGTGGATGACAGTGTTGCTTAGTTACCTAGTTGTTATCTCTTTCCTTATTTTCTTCCAAGAGAAGTTTTTTCGAGACTAGACTGTTTCCTTGAATGGCTTTGAGCACCTTTCACCTTCATCTATTCCCAGGAGCAATTCACTGCTATGCGGGATTTATACATGAAGAATGGTCAGGGATTCGTTCTGGTTTACTCTATCACGGCACAATCAACCTTCAACGACTTGATGGATCTTCGTGATCAAATTCTTCGAGTAAAAGACACTGATGAGGTTATTTTCCATCTGGTCATCGTGAATTACTCGGTTACTGTTTCTTGAGATGAAACGGTAATTTTAGGTACCGATGATTTTGGTCGGTAACAAATGCGATCTCGAAGATGAGCGTGTTGTCGGCAAGGATCAGGGACAAAATCTAGCGCGGCAATTTGGCTCAGCTTTCCTGGAGACGTCAGCAAAAGCCAAGATTAACGTTAGTGAGGTGAGTTTTATCGAGAATATCACTATCCTACTAGATATAACGTGCCAAAGTCTGTGTGTTTGTGTGTGTATGGGTATGTATACCTGTATATGTATGTGTATGTTGTGTGTTGTGGGTCCGACCGGAAATTCATAACCACTGGCCCCGTGGACCTAGAGCGTTCAAATTTGGTAGGAGCACTGACGGCTGGGTGGTAATACTCATGGTTTATGACAAAACCGGTCTCCATCAGAGTGGGCGAGGTTTAGCAAGAATTCATAACTCCTGTCCACCTGAACCTAGATAGCTCAAATTTGAAAGGACTGCAAACGGCAGGATGGGAACATTTATGGTGAGTGGCAGTATCGGACTCCGCCCAAGTGAGCGGGGTTCGCGCGGAAAACTATAACTTCTGTCCCCGTAGATCTAGAACGTCCAAATACGGTAGGAGCACAAGCGGCAGGATGATAACACCTATGGTGGTGGTAGAACCGAATTCCGCCGTTAGAGGTCGGGGTTTGTGCGAAATAGCTTTGAGCGAAATTCTTAACTCCTGTTCCCGTGGACTTGGAGAGTTCAAAATTGGTAGAAATAGGGGAGACAGGATGGGAACACTGATGATATAAGAGGCCTTAGAGAGCAAGAACCACTCACCAATCAAATCTCAACGTCTTTGATATTTAGGATCTAACTTTGACTATTTGATATGTTTCATTAGACAAGAAGGGTAAGTGTAGTGTTATATTAAGGGTACTAAATGGTACTAAAAGGAGATAAAATTTTTTTCTTTTTTAACTATTAGATTACGACCGCTACCCGCAAAGTTTGTGACTCAATGAAGGATCCCGGTTTTCTTGGCTTCGATATCATTCTTTACCTAATAATCTTGGGTTCTCATAATTGATATATTCGCGAACAAGGAATCTTTATTGTAGAAGACATTTGGTAATGATGTAATTATGACTCGACAACGTTTGTGGGTACCATTCAAGGCCTTGAATCTCAGGCTCCTGAACCTTCAAAGGGTCATCATTTTTTAAGATGAATAACAACAGATCTAGACTTCTAATCATAGGCATAAGCATCGGCACATTTTGAGTACCACTTGCATGCCCTACTAGTCCTCTGTCGAATATTGCGTTCCGAAAAGTGTCATTTGTTCCAAATAAGAGGGGCCCGTTTGTCGATTATTAGACCTCGGTCCTTAGAAGAAAGGAAGACTGGCATTAGCCGGGCGACCCGACTGGTACTTAAAAAGAAAAGCTTCACTGGCTGTTTCTGGTCGACTTTACCATTTTGGTAAGAAAGTTAACAACTAATAGCTGATTTCGGTTTGATATAATAGTTGATTTCATTGGTGAAATTTGTTAATTGTTACTGTTTTTTTTAATGTAAAAACGTTCACTTCTGCCTTAGAATGAAATCAGTGCAGGTACTGAATTTCACTATTGCAGGTATTTTACGATTTGATTCGACAAATTAATCGTCGTTATCCCGAAAGTGGTAAACGACAAGGACAGGGATCAAAGAAGTGCTGTAAGTGCACATTGATGTGAACTGCGGAGGCAACCTCTGACTTCATTTTGATTTTCGAATATGATTTAATTTCCAATTTTTTGCGACCTGTAGTACTGACATCTGGTATGAGGGTGGGCCTCTCAGTGATGTTTGACTGATGATTCATGCCTGACTTACGAAAGCCATGATCACTTGATGCCTTAAGGACGACCGGTGCTGCTGTATGACCAAACTAATTGAAGCTCATGACCCTTAAACTGCATCGCATACAGAAATTCACCCTGAATGTTCTACAGCTTGTAGGACTTACCTACACTTAACCAAATATTCACGTTGTTCCCTGATATCTTGATTCTTGTGAAAAAGAGTCCACAATTATTTTACCAAACATCGTCAAACACATTTTTTAGCAGGGTTTCTTCATAGTACTGCAGCTGGTTTCCTTCCTTCATGAAAAACTTACTGCTGCTTTTGGTTTGTGAGCTTTGTGGTTGTGATTAAGGCGTTTTAGTTGAACAAAAATTGCTTCATTTTGTGCAACGCTTTAAGTCGTTACACTCATTTACTTTCCTATTGTGCTGTCCTGCGCGCAATGCTGAAGGATTGTGGGTCGGGGCGTGATTTTGAAGTAGGATGGCTAAATGCAGATTCATCGTCCTCATATCAGTTTGTATTCGAGAGAATAAGATGGGCTCTTGCACCTTTCTCTGTCAAATACGTTCTATGTCAAAAAAATAATCCTACTATTCTAGTTAAGAAGTCCTCTTCATCTCGCGCTTCTATTTCTCATTTTAAGCGTTTCTGATGTTATTGCAATCCGGTATCTCTCATATCGCATATTGCCTATTATAATTCAAAAATTTATGTTATTGTTGAACTAACCCATTTAACCACATCTTCCTTTTTTTTATTTTATACCTTGATATGTATCGTATTTCCAATTCCATGCGTTTTTCTGCAGTAGCCACGGTGAGATGAAGTTTCTTCATTTATAAGTATATTAGTCGTGCCTTTTATGTGCACGCGACCACATTCCTACTGCTTTTTGTTAGCCGTGACTATACCTTATTATTTAGAAAAATAAAGATAACAACTATTTTGTGTTATTTGCGTGTGCACTCGCGAACAGATGACTTCGTCATTTTTGAGGTTGCATTTGTCGATTTTTTGGTTATGAGCTGATATTTCGATGTTAATTACTGTCAGGTAAACCGATACTACCTGTTCGTTGATCACCGATTGCTTCGAGCGGGCGCCATTAATGTTTCTATACGTCGCTTTCGCGGGCCAGAGCAATCCAATGGATCTTCCTTGTTCAAGAGACACGAGGCATAGCATTCCTTTCGTTTACAGCTTTCGTGAAGAAGTTAGACCATGGCTCGTTGGCGTACTGGTGCTCGTTTGACATTCCAAGGGACATCCTACTTACCAACCGCCCCAGGCCGGAGGTCATCACAGTATAGCATGAAGTGACTGGTCCACTTGATCATCTTCGAAACTCAAACCTCTGTATCCCCCTCTGCGTACGCGTGTATAGGGAAATCTCGAGCATCGCCCTTTCGCAGCGCCTTGAATGACGCTGACTGCTGCTTTCGTTGAGTCCAGGCTGTGTAGGCACACGTCAAAGCAGAAAGAACTGCAGTATCGAAAACGTAAACGCGGTGCCGAATGTTCTTTGTCTTCTTCATTGCTCCCTCGACGTTTTTGAATGCACCCTATTCCGCGCAGTCCTGCTAGATCTATGTCGTTCATCGTAATGCTGACAGCCTTCCAAGAGAGACGTCTCTTCGTATCTGGTGACTCCCTGATTTCCTATCTACATCGCGAAGATGAGCCAGTTGTACTTTTCACCGACTTATATGTTAGCCGAGAAAGGCATCCGACAGAATGACAGGATAAGCAAGGTGATCTCAGTCAACGACGGATTTGGGGCTTCGTTGCCTGAACTTCACAGCTCTTTCTCCATGATTTGAAAAACAGAATCGTCCCGGAGAGAAATGATGGTTTGGATCCGTGTAGAACTTCTTAATAACAGCGAGCTCAGTCAGGCAGATTCTCGACTGAAGTTGATGTGATCTATTTCATTGTGGAACTCTGACTCTCATGTCCATCGCAAATGAGAAATGCGATTTATCATGGATAGTGTGCGTCGACACATTAAACTCGGGCAGTCTTATACTATGCCCATTCCATTTCGTTCCGTGAGCTCCAATATATAGCTCTTCAGCTATTCTTTTCGGGCCAGTCGTGACGTGTTAACCCTGATCTTGGAGAAAGTGTGGTACTTTTTTAAGAGTCCATCAAAGTACATATGAAAGGCTTCCAGATCCTCGTCTTCCTATTGGTTGGGCAACGAAAATTGTGAAAGTCGCAGTTGAGCCACATACTTTCAATCCTAAACTTCCGACTCGTGCCGTCAAGCTTTCCTAGGAACTGATGTTCATCGCCACTATTCATTCGAGGACACCTACACCGCCAACCCGTCTGCTCCGCTATCGCATGTTCCTAGGGACACGATCTAGAGTCGAACACGGGGTGTAGCGGGCGATGCCTTCCCGTATCGTTCATTGACTAGCTTGTATCATCAGATGTTCGAAACACGCTTCCGATGCAAGCATTCGTGCGTTGGAAGTAGAGATCGCTATCTTAGTCCTCCTTTTGGGTAGCCTATTTTGGCCAAGAAAGCTTAGCAGCCTCTCCCCAGCGAGAATACCAGAGGTTCAGGGTTCGTTCAGGATTAGGGTAGTGAGGTCCATTTGTGTTACGTTTTTGGCATAGGGGAACCTGAGAGTAGCTTGCCAGGCTCCGCCGACATGGGAGCTGCATTGGCTCCGAGTAGTTAGCAAGGCTACCCCAGAGTGGACAAAGGGTTCGGTTATTAATGAACGCCTCGAATCACCTCCCAAATGACTTCCCAGTCACTCTAATGCAAACTTTTGGCTGAACCGATTTGCAGGATACCAACCGCGCCTGCGGAATCTCCACAAATGCATGCATGGGTACACCTGCGAGAAGAGATGGAATAAATCGACTGTACACAGCAAAAACAGAGTAAGTCCATCTTCTGAGTCCGCCTGCGTCTCTTTGCAAGTACCGGTGACTTTTGGTCCATGATTTCACTCTTACCCGCCACCTCGGATCGCACCGTGTAGCCTCGTTACCAACCGGCTAGAGGTCTTTCCGTGAGAAAAAACCTTCAATGAGGGAGATCCGCGTTGATAAACGTCAGATGCGAGCCGTGATTTCGGGAGGTCTCTTGTAGGTATGTTTTTCTCGCTGAAGAAGTGCAAGTAGCATGAACGTGAACATTTTTTGATCACATGAAACATGACTCTTAAGCCAACATGATGTTTCCGTGGAATTCGAGCTGGACAAGTGGGATAGGTGTAGAAGCTGCATATGGGCAACCAGGGCAAGGTACAAGACGGAACAGATAATTGATGGTTCGAGGTAGGAACACCATGAGAGATTTCTTTTTTTTTTTTTTTTGAGGAATCAAATGCTCCCCTTCTTTTCATTTGGGACGCCATTGGTCCTCTCTTTTGACCTAGAACTCCATAGGTACAACTCTACGGTCTCGCCTGTGAGAGTTCCAGGGCTGAATACAGAGACAAACCTTTGGTTCATATACAGCACGGATTTTGCGATAGACAAACAAGCAAACAAACACGCATCAAATTGCGGTTTATATATAAACATTCGGCTCATCAGGCTTCCTTCTTTTCTTCCAAATAATAAGATTGCAGACCTACTTTTCATTCCTTTATTTGGAAACAAATTTCTGACCACAAATTTCGAAGGGAAATTACCCCCAGTTATGACTGTACTACAAATTCCACAATAGGAGTACGCACTGACCACATACCCTTAAAATTTCCCCACATATTGCCCGTGGTCTAGACAGTGACCATTAAAGGCACGGTTCACGATAAAAATGGTTTCTGAGTTTTCCCCCTAAAAATACCCAGTGGCCTCTAAGGGTAATAGGAAGGACGCTGTTGAATCCCAAAACTCAACAGTCAGGGCACAGTGGGAGCCCGTTGCCGGATCGCCCGGACTTCCCGCCCCTCGATCGATGTCACGTCAGACGAGTGTCGCGGCGATAGAGATTTCAATATTTGTTCTAGGACCCACACACAATCAACTGATCGCCGATTGATGAGGCGACGTTTTTCTCCCATTCTTTCATTCTCTGTTATTCTTTGTGCTGCTGCAATTCTTATTCTACTTTTCTACCTCGAGTGGCTGAAAAAGGTAACTATTGATACTAGGGTTTTTCGTTAACTTATGCTCATGAGTAAATGAATTTTGCCTTAGCATACTCAGCTATTCGCATCAGGACCACGCGTACGCAATGAAACACATTGTACAGCTCGTCCAAATGCCCCATTCTTCTTCGTTTTTCTGGTGTCATTCTCGTCCAGCCCCGTTTTTAGCGATTTTTCGAAGCCTTTTTTTAAACTTTGGAAACACCTATTCACGCAGTCTTCGCCTTCATCGCACTATTTTCCATCTTGTCTCCCATAATTTGGGTTACCCAAAATTATCCTGAATTGTGCCTTTAAATAGGGATTGAATCGTTTCCTTTATTGACTTTAATGGCGCACTGACTTCCGGCAACTGAGCAACTTGGGTATTCAATTGAAATCATGATTTATACTTACTCTCCTTTAATGGTACTGACACTATACGATCCTTATCACTGCATTTATTACTCACTTTTTACGAAATTACTCTACCATCTCGTCTTACCATGAGTATATCAAAATGTCGTATTCAAATAGTTATGTACCATATGGGTTTGAATTCGACCTGCTAAGATTTCTTAACATTCTTAACAGTTTTTATCAACCGTTATCACTTTCTGTAGACCGCATCTGCGATGGAGTCACATCATATGTTTCCCACTGAAGTAGCAATGTCCAGTGTCGTACGAAAAAAAGGAAGTGAGCTGGAAGTGACTATCAGCGCTTATCGGTTGATGTTACTCTTTGTTACCAAACAACGATTCCAACCATTCCCAGTTCAGTCTCCTTGGTGTCAAGCTAATAGCATTATTTCGAAGGAAGCCACCGATTCCGTGGTTCTTGCTTTCCATTGCTCATTATCAGCCCCTAGCGTACCGATTTAGCGACTCCTCCCATTTACGGCTCCTTATCAGCTTCTATCACGTAAATCAGTTTCTGTTACCAATCGGTAGGGTTCCCTTTCGTCCCTTATCGCCTATAAAGGGCTGACTGGTAAGATCCTGCTGTTAACACGAATCCTGTGGTGATGGATCCTGCGGCTCATGCCTTCTAATGCTTCTTATCGGTCCCTATCAATTCATACCACTCCTCATCACCGATCATCAGCCTTCCCATCCCGCCGAGGATGGGAACACTAATTGGCAAGAATTGAATTATCGCTCCGTCAAACGCACACACAGGCGTCTTCGAATCAACCGCCACCCAATCGCCTCATCGAGAAACTCTGATCTGGTACCACCATCGCCGAACAATTTGAGGACAAACTCCTAAATAATCACCGTGCCAAACGAAAACTAGGAGAGCTCGGATCATAGCTAGAACCACATAGGCAAACGGCATTCAGACTAAACGATTCTCGGTGGTCACACTGAAAACGAAGATCTAAGCAACTCTTGAGAGCGTGTTGCGGCCTTTTATTCTTGCAAAGCACGAATACCTTTTCGGGTGCTAACCAAAGTCCCTCTTCAGGGACACATATCAACTTACTGGGGTGATTACCATAATAAGTACCCGCCACTTGTTCGTTATAAGGATTATGACTGACTCTTATACGCAGCGAGTTCGTTTAGAACCTAAATTATAAGAAGATAGAACCAAATAACGACGTCACCAACCGCATCAAAGGCCAGATTCCCTACCGAGTCCTACCTACCTCTGTAAGCCAAATTCCAACAAATTTTTTATCGTCACGAGATTTGTAATCGTCAAGGTGGTGCAGACACGATGAAAACCGGATCAGATTCTAGAAGCTACCAAAAAAATCTTTCTATAGTGAAACATTCCTGACGAGACGTTCCTCTCAGTAAGTCGATCCCTCCTCTGCTAACGTTTACCAAACATCCCGACGCAACCTGCGGCTCAGGTTTAAATAAGCCGAAGAACAATTCTAAGAGGGAGGCAAACTTTCGTTATTTTTCAAAGGGAACGTGCTGGTCCTGCAGCGATCCCAAGTGGATACAGTAATTAAGATGCGCGATTTTCATAGATTCGTTTCCTCGTGCTGCTTTCGGTTTGGTGACTACTCCCTCATGTTTCTGATAGAGTATTTCTCAAGACAATTATACACGAGCTTGGGAGGCGATTTTTTAATGTCTTCACTGATGGAATCAATATTTCCTACCTTGCGGCACGATGAAGTCCCTCACATCAAAGTGCAAACTGGTCAGTGACGCAGAGCGGCGCTGCGTGGTTTCTTCGGGTTTGACCGTGTCGCCAGCTAGCTGTGTCATGTTTTTGCCTGTGGATGGGTGCTTCCATATCGGTTCATCTGCCTTTAGTCTGCCATTCCAGTAGAATGACATTGCATTGACTGCCCTTCAGTAATTCAGCAATATAGTGAGNACAATCTTGACATCAGTGCTAGAATAGAATTGTGTTCTTTCGCTTTCTTTGGAACCCACTTACAGCCTGTCAGAGCGCGAATTACCATCGTCGCTGCAAAGGCAGGGACCAGATTTCATTGTTTTGCTTAGCCTCTTAAAGTACTCAACATGAACTTCATTTCAGTCGCAGTTTCTATAATAAACTTCTGTTTGAGGATGGCCGACGCCGAAAAGCTTGCTGAAATTCGCGAGAAGAAGGCGAAAAACCCAATGAGGGAAATGCGAATTCAGAAGCTATGTCTTAATATATGTGTGGGTGAGTCGGGTGATCGACTGACTCGAGCTGCGAAGGTGAGTTGTCGTTTAGTCAGCGGAGGTTATACTTCGTTAACGCACAGCTGTTCAAGGTGCTAGAACAGCTTACTGGACAGACTCCTGTGTTTTCGAAGGCTCGATACACAGTCCGATCCTTCGGTATCAGAAGAAATGAAAAGATTGCTGTGCATTGCACTGTTCGTGGACCGAAAGCCGAAGAGATCCTCGAGAAGGGGCTGAAAGTTAAGGAATTTGAACTCTACAGGGAGAATTTTTCCGATTCGGGAAACTTCGGATTCGGCATTCAAGTAAAGCTTTGTTTTTTGATCTATTCTCTACTCCTGCGATGTTTTCTTTCTGGAGTTGGAATCTTTTCTAATATCTGTCTTTGAGGAGCACATTGATCTTGGGATCAAATATGATCCAGCCATCGGGATCTACGGTATGGATTTCTACGTGGTACTTGATCGTGCCGGTCGTCGCGTGTCTAAGAGAAGACGCGCCCCCGGTCGCGTTGGGCCATCCCATCGTGTAAGTCGTGAGGAGGCTGTCAAATGGTTCCAACAGAAGGTGAGACTAAGTCATCCAGCTCTGTTTGACCTGTATTTGGTTTCGTCATACTTGCAGTATGACGGCATTATTCTGCCACCAAGACCCAGAGTCAAGCGAGCCGTTCATCGCAGACGTTGAGTTGTTTTTGTTTTGTTTCTCAATAAATGGTTGATTGGTTGGCATTATATTCTCATGGAGTTGTTAATCTCTCCTCATTGAAACTACTTCACGACTACAATTTGAAGGTGTCAACGTTGATAAAGTAGCGCAGCACCTTCTCATCAAATGCAAGTCTAATACTACCTACATCATAGGAGTTGAGGGACTCTTTGAATCAAGAAACCACAAAGTGGGCGAAAATGAAGGCAGAGAAAAAGATGGTAATAGAGATAACAGTAGGTGAAAGAGATGGGAAATGTCGGCTGTGGAAGAAACGTGGGTGAGAACGAAGAAAAGTCATGTTCCGTTAGGTACCCTGTAAAGTTTCATTAGTTTCAACAAGAGGAGTATTTAGAATCGGAGGACACCATACTTCCCTAAGGGAAGAACACGAGTTAATGCATTGGCACAGCTGTGAAAATTAATCCGCTTCTAGGAAAGTAACAACGAAAACTAGTCATTGAGTCAGACCCACATCAAAGATGGAATATTAAATAACAAACGAATAGTAAGCAGTTGTTAAGCCAAGTAGTAAAAAAGACTATATCGACGTGTGATCATGATTCTCTCAGTTGGATGAGTGTTGTGACAGAGGTGATTTTGTGTTGTTTGTGCGATAATAAATTAGTGATTTCCTAATCATAACCTTAAACTTCAGTGTAATTACGGTTTTGCGGTATGTGCTTGAAAACGAAAAATGTTATGGAAGGTTATGAAAAATGTTGAGAGCATTATAGAACACCATGAATGGTCAGGAAACTACTTGTTTATCGAAACCCAAAAAACTCAAGCGATGAACCTACGTCTCAGGGATCCACCGTGCCTTGTTAACGAATCTGACATTTTCTGGCGCTGGCACAAAGGACGTCGATTAGCGCCCTTCACCCTCACCATAGGCTTAACTAAGGCTGAGAGACGGAGCGGCACTGTTTTTAATCGCATTCCGTTGTCACAACCAACAACAAAATTAGGCGTAGTTCACTATAGTCGCTCGTGTTATGCAATTACACAACATTTCGAAAGGTTGAGCTCCTCAGCAACCGTGCGAGCGGTGCAAATCAGTACAAATACATTGGTTATTGGAAGTGTAGTGAGTGCATGGATCAGGTTCTACTGGAGGTCTGTATCTTTTGGTCATGATACTGGCATCGAGATTTGCACCATCTAGGAGTCGTTTGTTGATCCGTTTACTAACTGCCTCCTCTGACATCTCTTCACTCGTACAGGGTATGTGCTTGTGATTATTTTCTGTATGACCTTTCGTCGTATCGAGTGTCTGTTAAGAGGGCATAATTTTTTTTTNTTTTTTTTTGTTGGTTCAGGTCGCGGAAATGCTTGGCGTGCTTGTCTGGGAAAAATCAGCCGTTCTCAGTACTTGCGACATTACCCTGTAACACTCATCAGACCTGATGGATCGGCTCTAGAAGTCCGCTATTTGGAACCACGCGAAGTGAGCATTAAACTTTGTTTAATTTCTAAGCGTGCGATAGGTTGAATTATTCACGACTGGTGACTCATGATTCTTGACTACGTGCGCAAGTCATAATTTTGCACCAAACTCTTCCTTCATAGAAAAGGGAGATTTTTTCCGCAGCATGATTGGAATGCTACTTGATCATAATTGTGATATTTTGATGAGCTAGTGTTTTTTTTTTGTTGTGAGTGCCTTATTTTAGGTGGTGCAGCTTCCTGTGGATTTGAATGCGCTTACTGAAGAGGAAAAACGTCTTAGGTTAGCGGCAAGAAAACCAAAGACGAGAAAGATTGTTCAGGTGAGAATACTGTTATCTCCAAAGGATGTCACTTTTCCGCACTTAATGCTTATTTGATTGGTTTTAACTAAGCTAATCACTGCCAGAGCTACTAGAATTAACAATTTATTTCCTGCTCTTTAAAGGAATCAATAGACGACAATTTCGATCCTAATGAATACATGAAGTTCTGGAGTTCATCAACTAAACCACTAGGAACGCCAATCAGGAAGGATAAGAAAGTTTAGACGATACTTGTATTTGTTATTATTTGTAGAATAGTGCTCAAATAAATTCTTACCCATTTGTATCATATTTTGCCGCAGATCCGCTGCAGGTGTCTCCACCATACCATCGGTTACTTGAGGGAGAGCATTTTTCTCATGGTAAAATGGTCACCTTCACAGACACATGACTCCCGAATACACTATTTTATTGCCAACATACAATGAGAGGGAGAATCTTCCCATTTGTGTTTGGTTGCTGGAGAAGTATTTGAAGGATGTGAATTATGAGGTGATGGTTGTAGTCCCTATCTACTGATGTTTAATTTTTACAACCCAAACTTCATGAATTTTAGTTCCTTGCCAATTTTTTCATTTTTTTCGGAAAATGTTCGAAGGGTTTCAAAACAGGTGATTGTAATCGACGATGCCAGCCCCGATGGAACACAGAATGTGGCAGAACGACTGCGTCACGAGTATGGTGAAAATAAAATAGTGCTCAAGCCTAGAGAAGGCAAACTTGGGTTGGGCACGGCTTACATTCATGGCCTCAAATACGCGAGAGGAAAGTGAGTCAAATTTCCTAATGTTGCTGTATTGGTGAGCAGTTGAGAGTTCGTCAGCTTCGATGTTATCATTACTCTGAGATTATTTGCTCTTTTAAAAACGTCTGGTTTCACTCCTTTAACTCAGCTTCATTATCTTAATGGACGCGGATTTATCCCATCATCCCAAATTTATACCTGAGATGATTGAGCTTCAAAAAAGCATTAATGTGAGTTGCTGAGAATGAAGTTTCATCGCTTCGGTTGCCTAATTTTGAGGAGACTTTCATTGCAGCTTGATATTGTTACCGGAACGCGCTACGCTTTGGGTGGTGGTGTTCATGGCTGGGATCGCAAACGGAAAACTATAAGTAAAGGAGCTAACTTTCTCGCACAAGTCAGTCTCTATAAATGCTTGTTCCCATTTGTTTTCCTAATAATCTTTCAAGGATAATGGTATAACATAGAGGTTACGTATTTACGCAGTATTGTTAGTCTCACCTGTCACCTGTCGTTCTATTGATCATCTGTTTCACCGAGCGGGGGCCAGTAACGGCTCCACTCGTCCCTGTCGCGAGCCGGAGCGGTTCAGTGTCTCGTCTCTTTGGAGAGACACGAGGCACAGCATCTTTTGTCCTTGGCTTTCATAAAAAAGTCTGACGATCGCGCTGACGGCCCACGGGTGACCTTCCGAGAGATGCAAGCAGTAACTGCCATTCCAACGATCATCACAATATCGCATAAGGTGTTCGGTTAACTGATCTTCGATCCCTTAGCGTAGGCAACGGTATCCCTGATTTTCATTCGTTGACGGAGCTCCGGGCTACCTGGTGTTTTCCGGGTCTCTCCGCACATGCATATAAAGAGAAGCTCCAAGCGTGGTCCTTTTCAAAGCGCGTTGAGCGACACTGACAGCATGGTCATGCTGGCTTTCGCAGAGTCGAAGTCTCCGAGGCGTATGTCAAAACGGGAAGGACTGCACTGTTGAAAAGGTGAGAGCGGAGTCAGGTGTTTATTGCCTCCTTCACTAATCTCTCGGTACTCATGAATACTCTCTAAGCCGCACTATCCTTCTGTCAAGCTCCGGATCTGGATCATTCATTATGCGGACTTTCCGACCTAGGTACCGAAGCTAGATCAGTCAGAGAGTATCAGTTTATTATGAGGAGATTCCAAATATATTTTTAACACGTTATCCAGGAAAACTGTCAATGCTCCTAGGCTTTCAGCCATCACATCAAAGACAAAATGATAATTAATTGAAAATTCATATGTGATTATACCAGACAGAAATGCATAATTGAAAATACATGATTTTTGTGCTATTTATCTACAGTGTAACTGCGGCTATTGATTTACCTCCTTGATTCTGTTGTAGGTTTTGCTGTTGACGCCTTGTTTAATTTAATTTTAGTTTCTCCTCAATCCCGGTGTCTCAGATTTGACGGGCTCCTTCAGGTTGTATCGAAAAGAAGTGCTCGCATGCTTGATAAATAAAAGTGTAAGCAAAGGATATGTGTTTCAGGTCAGTTTTCCGAGGTATAGTGGTGATCGTCAGTGTCAATTTCGTACCATCTCCAGTGTTTTTTTTGTATGAGTCACCCTATTCAGATGGAAATGATGTTCCGTGCAAGCAAGAAAGGTTACAAAATTGGCGAGGTTCCAATTTCATTTGTGGATCGGTGTTTTGGTGAGTCCAAGCTGGGCAGTCAGGAGATTATTGATTACGTTAAAGGGCTCATGTATCTGTTTTTCTTTGTCAATTAGTCTCCGTTTCGTGTAGGATTTCAATGCTTTACCTAGACACTTTAGAGCATGACATTGCTTTTCTTCTCCTCCGTTTTTGTATTTTCGTCTATGCTATTCCTTTATCGATGTTTCATTTACGTGGTTGTTTAAGAGTATGATTTACATTGTGGGTAATAAATTTTTCGTCTAAATAGCTTCTTGCAGCGATATCAGGGACTCAAAACGCCACAACTAGGAAGTGGGTGGGTGTTCAATTGAACTGAGGTAGAACTATTTCTAGCGCGGTTCTCATTTAATTTCCACCAATATTTAAGTAACTCTAATAGTCCATATGAGCTGAATAGAATGGTGTTAGATGCTACAAACATTCCCGATCTGGCTTGTAGCTAGCCTACATAAACTTTTCCATAAATGTGCAGAACGTCTCATATAACCAGTCAAAATTCTTTCGAATTCACTCGATTGCGGTGCTTGTTATAGCTGCCCTTCAAAATGCGTTCGATGGTCTGTCAGGGTTGGTGGCACATCAGTAATTTGCAGTAAGTCCAGTTGTTCTGTGCTTTCAAACCTTGGTGCGTATGGAAGGCTCGAATGTTTCCATGAGATAAGAGCGATAAGAGCAGCGCGATCGATTCATCGAAAATTCGTTATTAATTCCCACTACTTTCAGGTGGTGATTTATTAAGACATGTTCATGCTGAAATAGAGTCCTTCCTCTGGCAAACCTTTTTTCTGTCGATTCTCTTATTTTTACTTTTTGTCACTTTCTTGAAGGCCTGTAAACTGTTAATCGTCATTGCGATCAATACCCTGTCGAGTCTTTAAAGAAGGGAAGGTTTCCTGTAAAACTCTGAGTAGATAACTTTCGTAAAGCCCATGTGTTCTGAACTAGTGCTCACAGGCGAAGAAACCATTGCCATTTCCTCAAATAGTTTTCGGGCTATAAAAATTTGCGTGAAATGAGGTAGGCACATTAATCACGCTCTGTGAAGATTTGCTTGAAACGTAGAGCTGTGAGATTGTGATGCTCAATCACTGGTCGACCTAAAAGATTTTAACCGCAGGTTGGGTCCGGTCTGAAGGTTGGGTCTTCTCGTAAACTCTGCAGTTCAAAAAAGTTTGACTGCTCACAACAAGGTTAAGGGCTTGATTCAGGGCTTTGTGTGGGTTACCGTTATTCTAGATCCTTACGATCTACCTAAGTTTTGCAAAGTTCACGACCTCGCATGCTTTGAAAATTTTGATTTAGTCGCTCCTGGTCATGCTTTCCAGCTTCTTAAAAAAGGCTGCTGTAGGTTTTTGGTTATTATGATGACGTATCCGAGACCAAGAGGTATTCATATATCCAAATGAGCGGTGAGTTCAAAATAAGTGTTCTTCAGATGTGGTTTATTGTTATTCACAGCCTTTTTGCCGGAGCTCAGTCAGCCTCAGTTGAAGTGCGTCCGGAATGTTCGGCTTGTCAACTTATTTTCATCGCATTGTCGAACCACGACTTGAAAGGTAACTTTCGAAAAACCATTTCTTTTTCAGAACGCCACTGTTTTTTATACGCATAGTTAAACCTCGTCTCCTAGCCATTATACATCGGAACTCGGCCTAGACCAAAAAAAAANAAAAAAAAAGAGTGGATGGAGAACTAATCCAAATCTTAATTTCGTTCATATACCTATAACCACTGAAAGCGATTGGCACATTGCGAATTTTGCAGAAATGTGAGGAGCATCTCGAACCCCTTTTCTGACGTGAAATGTGTTGATTTTCATCCATGGCTCTAACACACTCGGATAAGTATTGGGGCGCACTTCATGCTTCAAGTGCTTTCCTCTTTTTTTTTTACAAACCTTGCTTGGGATGGAATATTGGGGTCCATCGGGTATACACTCTCTAACTGACACCCATAATTCTGCTCCACCTTTCCTGCTTGTACTACTCTACCTAGATTCTATTCATAATTCTCTCGAGGTGTTTCAACGCAAACTGATAAGCATGATCCAAAGAGGATGTAGGGGGGAATCTGTTGCCAAGACATTTACGCAGCGAGCCTGACATAGGGTTGGCACCATGAAAAATGCTTGTAGGTTTATTAAAGCTTTTCAAAAAAGAGAAGCCTGATGAATAAGAATTCGAATCATAAGAAGCTTGTTGAGATTCACCACAAAAAACGCCAGTTCATTTCTGTACGAAGATGCCATACTGCACGAAATGGCTCTCGCACTGTGAAGTAAGTAGTGAAATTTGTACCTGAATTCCTGAGTGATGGGTGGAACTGAGCTATTCTGCTCAAGTCAATTACAGATAGTAAAGTCGTTAATGGGCATCCAAATTGCCAACATCTCTCAATCGGACCATCGATTCGCGAAAGTGAATTCTCAACTTGAATCTTTCATAGAACGATGTGAAAAAGGTGAGTTCAATGATGCAATTATGTAAAATTGTTGGTTCCCTGAACTTCATTGCTTCGGAAATTGTTGTATATTGAATATTGAAAGCTCTCGTCTTTGCTTCAATTTTTATTGTTGACAACGTTTCGGGCATAAGCCCTTCTTCAGGTCCACTGAATTATAAGCATAATCATAGTTATAACTATTAGACCAACAAGTAACAGCTTAATACGAGCAACGGTTACTCACAGGAGAGTTGAACAGCTGGCGGAATGGAGGCGGGAGATGGGATGGGGATGGGGGTGGAATGGGACATACCAATCGGTATCAGCTTAATATAAGTGCCGTAGTGAAGGGGTCAAGCCTTTATTGATATTGATATGAAGCGCATGGCCATCTTCATCTCCTCCTTGCTGTTAATCGGTGGGTTGAGTTTCTTTATTTCTAACGCTTCCTTT